TGCTTGGGATTCTCTCTCTCTCCCTCTCTCTCTGCCCCTCCACTAGTCACACTGTCTCTGCATCTCTCAAAATAAATAAATAAACTTTAATAAATAAATAATAAATAAATTTTTAAAATTAGTAAAAGATCTGAACAAATGCCTCACCAAAGATGGCAAAAAAAAGTATGAAAAAAATCTCAACATCAGATATTACAAATTAGAGCAATGAGACACCACTAAAAACTTTTAGAATGGCTAAAATCCAAAATTCTGATAACACCAAATGTTGACAAAGATATAGGTCAATAGGAATTCTTATTCTCATTGATGGTGGGGATACAAAATGATACAGTCCCTTTGCAAGATGGTTTAGCAGTTTCTTAAAAAACTAAACATACATTTACTATATGATCCAGCAATTGCACTCCTTGGTATTCACCCCAATGAGCTGAAAAACATGCACACACACACACACACAAAATAATCTTTTAGCAGCTTTTCTTTAATTGCAAAAACTCAGAAGCAACCAAGTTGTCCTTCAGTAGATGAATGGATTAAACAAACTATGGTACATCCATATAATGGATTATTATTCATTAATAAAAATAAATCAACTATAAAACCACAAAAATCATTAAGAAGGAAATTTAAATGCATACTGCTAAGTAAAGGAAAGACTTTATGAGTCCAAATATATGACATACTTGGAAGGGCAATACTACAGAGACATCAAAAAGATTAATGATTGCCAAGGACTCAGGTAGATGGAAGGAGAAATAAATAGGTAGAACATGTGATGCAAGGCAGTGAAACCTGTCTGTATGATATTGTAATGGTGGATACATGACATTATACATTTGTCAAAACCTATAGAACTCTGTAGCACAAAGATTGAACCCAATGTAAGCTTGGAATTTAATTAATAATATTGCATTAATATTGTATTGTATTGGTTCATCAATTTTAACAAATGTAGCACACTAATGAAAAATGTTAATAAAACTGTGCAGAGAGTAGGCAGCAGAGAACGGGTATATGGGAACTCTGTACTTTCTGCTCAAGTTTTCCATAAACCTAAAACTGCTGTAAAGAAATAAATTTCATTAATTATGAAATGAAGCAATATTAAAGTTAAATAGTATAAACACAGAGTGGAATACAAAGATAACTTGTGCCTTGTTGGTTAGGCTATGATATCAAATTTAGAGAATGGGAAGAGAATAAAGTTTGGCCAGAGAATATGAAAAGGGTACACTTAGCAGAAAAAGAGAGCATATACAAGTAAATCTGAATAATACTGAGAGAAAGCATATTTATACTAAAGGAGCCCAGGGACTGAGGCAGCTGTCATGGAAAAAGATAGCTCATAGATACACAGAACATATATGTGTGTTGAACATGTATATATGTGTGTTGAATGGGGGGTGGAGGTGGGGTGGGAAAAATGGGTGAAAGAGGTCAAAAGGTACAAACTTCCAGTTATGAAATAAGTAAGTTATGGGATATAATGTACAGATGGTGTCTATAGTTAGTAATACTGTATTGCATATTTGAAAGTTGTTAAGAGAGTAGATTTTGAAAGTTCTCATCACAAGAACAAAAAATTCTTGTAATCGAACTAGATTTATTGTGATGATCATCTTGCAAATTATACAAATATCACACACTTGACGCTAATGTAATGTATGTCAATTATACCTCAATTAAATAAATGAATGAAGAGACAGAGACAGACAAAAGGAGAAAATTTTTAAGTAATCAGTAACACTTCTATTATATTTAATTCTTTTGGTTTTGTGGTTAGAGGATGTGTTCCAATCAGCCTATATGGGGGCATAGAGACTTCTGTTTTTGTCCATGAAGGAGCATCAGGGACTAGAATTATTCTTTCACCTTAAGCCAATTAAAATCTTGGGGGAAAATATGTAAAACAGCAATATTCAGACATTGGAAAACAAGCAGAAGGAAAAGAAAGGAACAGAGCCCTTTGATAACCCCATCTTACTTCCTGAAGTTTCCAGGCCACAGCATAAGGAAGGGGGACCCAGAGTCTACTGCTCTCCTGGGGTTCAGAGACAAAGTTTAGATTTTTGGAAGCCCAAAGCAGCTAGAATTCACAGGACACAGTATTAGAGAGAAGACAGCTGCACAGATTCAGAAAGACAGCCCTAGAGATGTGCAGAGAGTTTTCCTGGATGTAAAAAGAAACTTTCACTACCCACTCCAAAGCTCTAGATAGCTTTCTACTCATGTAGTCAGTCAGGACTTTTGGATCAAAGGTCTCTACAGAATTTGGGAGCACTGTAGAATCAAGCTGTAGAATTAATCACTGTTGAATTAAAGCCTTTGGTTTAAATATGGCAACACTAGGGTTTAAAGCCGAAGTGGAAAGAGAACAGGATTCCTGTCAACCTTTTCTACGCAAGTTTTATTTTCTAGCTTATAATATAAATTGTACTCTACAGCATATATTACATCATTGTTTCAAAATTCTTTCTACTATCTTGACATAAGCAAGGTAATTTCTCCTTTCTGTTGATAAGTAGTCAGCAGTTCAACAGAGCAGTTCTAGAAGCTCTTTATATTCATGAACCAATTGGTACTCAGCTGTTATCAAAGAATTAGTGCATATGAGTTGATCTATAATTCACAGAAACAAAATCTACAAATGACCTTTTAAGTTTATTGCTGTTCCATCTCAAAGGCTTGGCACGCCTGAAACATTTCAGCAGCATACTCTAATCACAACCACAACTCCTCCATCCCTTGGGGTGCCTGAGTGGCTCAGTCGGTTAAGTGCTTGACTTCGGTTCAGGACATGATCTCAAGGTTCATGAGTTTGAGCCCTGTGTCTGACTCTGTGCTGACAGCTCAGAGCCTGGAGCCTGCTTTGGATTCTGTGTTTCCCTCTCTCTGCCCTTCCCCTGCTAATGCTCTTTCTCTCAAAAATAAACATAAAAAAAAATTGTTTTTAAATCCTCCGTCCTCAAAAATGAGTCTATTTTTTGTAGCATGTAGCCTTAATTAGGAATTTCAATACTTGCTTGATAGTCAGTTCAACTGTATGGCTCCAAACTCCAGGGACTCTATGTTATTACTTTAATAATAACTTTAAATTATAGAAAACTATAGAAATTAATGCACTTGACACAAGTTGTTAACACAATAATGTTTAAATGAGTGGAAACTTACGTGGATCAGTTGCAGAAACATCTATAAATTCTTTAGTTGGGTGGGTTTTTATGAATTCTGAAATAATAGTAAATTTGTCATATGTTTAATATATCAATTATACATATTGAGTTTAAAGAAAACTCTAAGAAAAACAATAGAGCTCCCAACAGTGGAAAGCCTCCCAATCAGGCACCAAATGGTAATATCTGAATGAATGTATATAACAATTGAGTAATATAAACTCATCATTTTCTCAACAACACTTGTTCCTCTTACATTCTTTTAATTAATGTTACCATGATTTAATCTCCCTTCCTTTCATATCTAATCACCAAGTTTTCCCAATTTTACCAGTAAATTTTCTCAAATCTACCCCGATTCTTGTTTATTTATGCTCTCATATAAGAACTTATCACACATCTAAAACACAGCAATAACTTCCCTTCCCTATACCTAGTCCCCAAATATAGCTTCTACAATGTGGCCAGAATAATCTGTCTACAATTAAATCCAACAATGTCACTTTCTTACAAAAAGTCTTCAGTGATTCCCTAGTATATACGAGGAAAAAAAAGTTCCCCAGCACAGCATCCGATCCCTCTGACTAGGCTCTCTCTTACCTTATCCCTACCTTCTAGCTCCAAATTCTAATACCATTCCACTTGCAATTCCCTATTCACGCTCTTTGCTCATACTAGGTCTTCTTCGTAAAAAACCAGATATCTCCCTTCTTCATTTGACTAGATCCTATTATGTAAAGGACAAAGGATCCTTTGTCCTTTACAGTTGCATAAAATCTTTCCAACTCCCTCAGGTTGAACAAACTGGCTCTCTGTGGATTCACTGAAAATTACACATAACCTTTATCATGCATTCTCATGTATTACACTATATTAAAATGATACATAATGTGCTTGTGTCCTTACTGCATTGTGTATTTTATGGTGGTAACAACCAAGGTTTATTCGTTTTGTACAACTCCCAGAATCTGAAACATAATAACTTTTATTGAAAATATCAAACTCACTATTGAATATATCTTTAAATTTACTATTATATAATTTTATGGATATAAATTTTTAAACTAAGTCTCAAATGTTAATGTAATATAGAAAAACTTATAATGCTAAACATGCATAAAATATTATCACCTTCAATTATCTGCTGTATGGTTTCATAACTTTGTAATGCTCCTGGTAAATTTTCACTATGCCTGTTTAAATTTCAATAAATACAACATGTATTTATTATCAAAGAATAAGAGTTTAAATTACACTTAATAAATAGAATATATGCTCTAGATATTATACAGTTTGTAAAATAAAATTTAACATATTTTTTAACTTTTATTCACAGACAGTAAGGTAAATTAATTAGTACCAAGCAAATAAGTATAAAAGTCACATTATGTAATTCTAAAAATTCTATGTATTCCATGAATATAATTAGGTATATCAACAACAATCTTAATAAAAATAGCAAAAGTAAATTGAATAAAAATAGGATATTTCTTTTAATGGTGAAATTGTTAAGAGCACAAGTTCTAGAGACAAGCTGCTTGGCTCAAAACTTGTCTTTCCCACTTACTAATTATATGACCTTGGGTAAGTTATTTAATGCCTCTGACTTTTAGTTTCTTCATCTATTAAAATTGGGATATTAGAGTACATATCTCAGAACGTAGCGCTCTTCAGATCACTGTTTCCACGCTGTATGTCCACAGGCTGTTTGCCCTGCCTTCTTGCCAAGAGCAACCCCAGTGCCCTCTGATTTCACTCATATGTAGAATTTAAGAAACAAAACAGGGACCCCTGGGTGACTCAGTCAGTTAAGAGACTGACTTTTGATTTCAGCTCAGTTCATGATCTCCCAATTGGTAAGACTGAGCCCCACATCAGGCTCCCCACTGACATCATGGAGCCCCTTGGGATCCTCTCTCCCTCTCTGCCCCTCCCCCACTCACATTCTCTTTCAAAATAAACTTTAAAAAAAAGAAACAAAGAAATGGGAAAAAGGGGGGGAAGCTAGAAAGACAAATTAAAAAGCAGACTTTTAATTATAGAGAACAAACTGATGGTTGTAAGAGGGGAAGTGAGAGGAGGGATGGGTAAAATAGGTGATGGGGATTAAGGAGTGCATCTGTCATGATAAGCACCAGTATGGAACTGTTAAATCACTATTTTGTACACCTGAAACTAATATAATGATGTATGTTAACTATACTGGAATTAAAACAAAAAATAAAATAACAAAATAACAAAAGTTGAATATGTCAGACATCTAATGTATAGCATGCTGTTTACAGTTAACAATATTAATGTATACTTCATATTTCATATTTGCTAAGAGTGAATCTTAAAGTGTTTTCACCACACACAAAAAAAGTAACTATGTGAGGTGGGAAAAAAAAGTCCTAAAAGGTATTCCATGATAATAATTTAGTCATCTATTAAATTCAAGACAGATAAACCTCAAATATCAAAAGTCAGATAATAGGAGTATCATTGTAATCATTTGAATCTTTCTCCCATCTGTCAAAAAAAAAAGGCTTTCCACAACTAGAAAGTAGAGAATTTTTCTTTAGAACACATCCCTGTCCCTATGAAATTTTTAATGATGCTGTTCATAAATAACTTTATCTTAGTTTCCTATTTACTATAGAAGCTACATAATCAAACTGAGAGAATATTTTAAAAGCCAGATATTTAAGCCAGCCATTCCAACAGAACTTTCTAGCAACAGCCACATGTGGCTACTAAGCATTTGAAATATGGGTAGTATGAATGCAGAATTGACTTTTTAATAAAATTGAACTGAATTTCAATTTTAGTAGCTAGATGTGACTACTGACTACTGATTTTCCGGTGCCACTTCAAACTGTCAAAAATTTCAAATAGGAGCAAGCTGAGTATACTATTTGATATGATTTAGAAACTACATACAGCACAATATCTGAACCATTACATGTGTTACTACTTTATACCCACTCTTACTGTTTTGAATTCTATTAACTCTTATATTTTACTTACTTGGGTTTAGACAACAAGGCTTTCAAGGAGTATAAAGACTCTTGTTTAAGACGATTTTTCAGTTCTTCTAGTTTTTGCACCTGCTTTACTACTTGTGCAAGGCTTAAAGTGACTGTTTTGTCAGGTGCTGGAAACTCTGTTTCTAAAAAATTTTGATCTTTACTTATCTAAAACATAAAATTAGCCAGTTACTTAAGAAATACCCATTTTGCAACTATATCTCAAAGAAATGTCATCATTTTATTTACAACTTACATAATTTTTATATTTTATCTATAACTACAATGAAATAATAATATTTTATAAATATAATTTAAGAGTAATTATCTAGCAACAGAATTGTAGTTAAGTATTGACTTTTACATGTCAAAACTCAAATCCTTAATATAGGAGAATTTTAAGCAAGTTCAATAACAATTGTAGCAGAATAATTAACGGTAATTCAAAATATTTACAAGAGAATTCTAAAATAATTGATTTCCCAAAATCCTTTTTTTTTTTTTAATTTTTTTTTTCAACGTTTATTTATTTTTGGGACAGAGAGAGACAGAGCATGAACGGGGGAGGAGCAGAGAGAGAGGGAGACACAGAATCGGAAACAGGCTCCAGGCTCTGAGCCATCAGCCCAGAGCCTGATGCGGGGCTCGAACTCACGGACCGCGAGATCGTGACCTGGCTGAAGTCGGACGCTTAACCGACTGCGCCACCCAGGCGCCCCCCCAAAATCCTTTTTAAGAATACTCTTACCTGTGATAAATATGGAAATACAGTAATTTGCTCTCAAAAGCAATACTTTCTACTACTAACTCCCAGAAGTTAATATATAAGTCCATGAAACTGGCATTCTTCCATCTGTATGTGGAAAACTGAGACCCATTTGGATGTCTCAAGACTTTTTGAACAGACCAAGCTACAGAATAATGAGCAGTCAGGAAAATCAATAGGATCCATAGAATAAGATGATAGACCATAACTGGTATTCTAGACAATAAGTCTATTTAAAGAAAGTTCATCAAGATGAATGCCCCCCCATCCAAAAAAACAAAACAAACAAAAATAAAAAATAAAAAAAATGAAAGAAATATCAAACAGCTAACATGTGGAGACATAAGCAATCAGAGTAGCAATGGAGGTAAAAAAAAAAAATTCAGAATAGCAGAGATCCACACACATATATACCTCTGACCCTTATGATGTGAGGGAAAGCTAAAACGAAAAAAGTAGTAGTAGTCAAGGCATAGTCCTAAAACCTAGCAAAGAGAAATTCTAGCAATGGGAATTTAAAAGAGACATTTTAGTAATGGCTACTTGAAATGGAATTAGGATATAACAGCAAGAAGTAAACACTGGGCAATGTTCTGGAAGTCTGAAACTGGGGGATACAGGACAACTGGAAGAGATGTATGGAAACTCTATGGACAAAGGCACGATCCCAAAGAGAGGACATAATTTGGTATATAAGATACATTGCCAAATCATAAATGGAATCTAAAACCATCATAAATGGATCTAAAAAGTGATGTAGCAATCAGCCACAGTTATCAATTTATTAACTCTCATCTAAAAATTCATTCTTACTATGAAAAATTATATGCCAACAAACTGGACAACCCAGAAAATGGACAAAGTCCTAGACATCCGCACACTGCCAAAACTCAAACAGGAAGAAAGAAAATCTGAACAGACCCATAACCAGCAAAGAAATTGAATCGGTTATCAAAAATCCCCAATAAATAAGAGTCCTGAGCCAGATGGCTTCCCAGGGGAATTCTACCAGACATTTAAAGCAGAGTTAATACCTATCCTTTTCAAGCTGTTCCAAAAAATTGAAATGGAAGGAAAGCTTCTGGATTCATTCTATGAAGCCAGCATTACCTTGATTCCCAAACCAGACAGAGACCCCACAAAAAAGGAGAATTACAGGCCAATATGTCTGATGAAAATGGATGTAAAATTTCTCAACAAGACACTAGCAAATTGCATTCAACAGTGTATTAAAAAGAATTATTCACCACGATCAAGTGGGATTCATTCCTGGGCTACAGGGCTGGTTCAATATTTTCAAATCAATCAATGTGATACATCACATTAATAGAAGAAAGGATAAGAACGATATGATCCTGTCAATAGACGCAGAAAAAACATTTGACAAAATACAGCATCCTTTCTTTATAAAAACCCCCAAAAGGTTGGGATAGAAGGAACATACCTTAACATCATAAAAGCCATATATGAAAAGCCCACAGCTAATATCATCCTCAATGGGGAAAAATTGAGAGCTTTCTCCCTGAGGTCAGGAAAATGACAGGGATGTCCACTCTCACCAATGTTGTTTTTTTTTTAATTTTTTTTACATTTATTTATTTTTTGAGAGACATAGAGAGAGCACAAGTTGGGGAGGGGCAGAGAGAGAAGGAGACACAGAATCTGAAGCAGGCTCCAGGCTCTGAGCTGTCAGCACAGAGCCTGACTCAGGGCTTGAACTCACAAACCATGAGATCATGACCTGAGCTGAAGTCAGACACTTAACCGACTGAGCCACCCAGGCACCCCTCACCAATGTTGTTTAACACAGTGTTGGAAGTCCTAGCTACAACTGACAACAAAATGAAATAAAAGGCATCCAAATTGGTAAAGAAGAAGTCAACCTTTCACTTTTTGCAGATGACATGATACTTTACATGGAAAACCCAAAAGACTCCACCAAAAAGCTGCTAGAACTGGTATGTGAATTCAGCAAACTTGCAGGATATAAAATCAATGTACAGAAATAGGTCTCATTTCTATACGCCAATAATGAAGCATTGGAAAGAGAAATAAAGAAACTGATCTATTTACAATTGCACCAGGAACCATAAAATACCTGGGAATAAACCTAACCAAAGAAGTAAAGGATCTGTACTCTGAAAATTAAGGAATACTTGTGAAAGAAATTGAAGACACAAAGAAATGGAAAAATATTCCCTGCTCATGGATTGCAAGAACAAA